TAAGTACATACAGTAAATTATTGAGGATAGTAATGAGATAATTAGCTGATGTAACTGAAAAAAATCAATCAACTAAAAAAATGTTTCATTTAGCTTATATATATATATTTTTTTTTTAATTGTGTGTGTTAAATATAGAAAGACAGGTTAATATTTTCATTAATATCAAATTTATTTTTTATAAACATAGCAGTAGCTCCAGACACCCATCTTTGTAAAACACATCTGAACAGTGCTGAATTCTGCATACAGTGTATTAAACACCACAAATGACTGATTATCTTAATAACATTTACACCACAAAACATGATCACAAAAGCTTTTGTTATCCTGGAAAAATTACAAACATGACAGTTTTACACTGAAATGGGTTATGCACAGCTTGCAAAGTGAACAGAGATGCTTCATATCAATAATGACAGTAAACAGCAGTGGAAAAAGAAGACAAGGCTTTATTACAGTCCAACGGTAATATCCAAGTTGCCCATGTATCCTTTGAAAAGGATACACACTAATCAGATACTCAGTTTTGAAACAGCTTTTTAGAGAAAAAAGATCATGTTTTTGGGTGAATAGAGTATAATTTTGCCATTGAGTGAAAAAAAAGGCCACAAATCTGTAACTTCAAAACAACATGACAAAAGACCTAGGTAAGACACTCTCTCAAGCCAATGACTTGTATGGAATTTGAGACATTTTGGTGTTTTGCACCTTCTGCCTCTCTGATTGGCTGGCACCGCTCAATGGACTCACCTGTGAAGGATTGGCTCATCACTCCCTGGCTTTTTAAGGCTGTCTTGAGTATTAACTCATCACAGAAGCATTGCTACTGTTTGGTAATGAGCTCAGCCTGTTACTAGTTTTTCCAGACACCTAAACTTGACTTACCGTCGTGCTTTTTTTGTATTTACCTGTTTCCAGACTCAAAGAAGTGTTTGAGATTACCTGATCCTGCCAAGCCTGTTTGAGGAAACTAGAGCCACTCACCTGCTTGTTCATGCGCTGCCTGCTTTCCTCCAACTCACCTGTAAAATAGATACCGCGGAAACATTATGACCCCCGCACGCACAAATGCACCAGAACTCAGAAGTCTTTATTCCTAATAAATGTCATGCTACCAGGTGCATCCCAAATTTTTGCATGTCCAGACACCCCTATTTGGATGGCGGCGACTCCTCAAATATGGGGTGTATCGTCAAACTGTTGGCTGGTGCAGTGTAGGTCAGACTCATCTACAGTCCTGCCTGCCAAACTTCATGTTGATCAGTGCAGCTGTTTTTGTGCTACGGTTGACCAAAAATCACTGGAAAAAAAAACAGTACGAAAACAAAATGACTCCCGCTTATGCTTTGTGAGCGGGGGTCATAATAATTCACTCACCTGTAAATACTCATCTTTTGGATCCAGGACCCTGGACCTACTCCTCCACACTGAAACCCATTCCCTCACCTGTAAGAACATTTATCATTACCTCTCTGCAATTAGCTTCTGGAAATTTCTGTCAAGATGCTCACCTTCTGCCTGCCCTCTGCGTTCACGTCCTAATTCCCCTCCCATTCCTCTAAATAAAAATACTTACCTTATTATTGCCTCCGACTGTTTGTCCTTGGTACTTGCTCACGTTGACTTACCTGTAAACCTGATAGAATTCTTGAAATATTTCTGATTTTGTTGGTCCAAAAACAGTGTGCTATTTTTAGGGCAATGCATTAACTAAACTTTTTGATGAAGATGCCCAACCAAGAAGTCTGGTGCTTTAAAGGCAATTTGGTGACTTATTTACTATGTGCATGGTTGGATCTTTCAGTCTCTGAATCTTTACTGAAATGTTTCCAGGATCCAGCTCCAGGAGCACTTTCTGAAGTACCTCAAAAATATATCTGAGATTCTTGGTGTACTTCAGATCCAAAGCATTGACTTGACCCAAGAGATGGCAACAGGCTCTGATGAGATTCCCAAAATTACAGAGAACTGTTGTGTCCTCAAAAACAATTCCTACATCAGTAAGTTTTGACCCATCTTGGTTCTGCGGCAGATAAATCTTCATCACCTCATTAGCTAAAGCCTCTTGAACGCAGACATCAAGAACATCCTCCTGTGGACATAAAGAACTTCAGTAAGCCTAAATTTAGCTTTTATCACACATTCAGTGTCTCCAGATATAGTCATACAAAAAAGATTTTTATACACACAATCTGTGGATACTCAGGAATATTTGGAAAGCGAGATCCATAAATAATTTGGAAATGCAGTTCTCTCACATATTTCATAGCTTTAGCCTTTATTTTTTTGCCAAACTAGCCAATCTAAATTATATTTGAATAGGAAATTTTCAACCCATTAGCCAAAATATTAGACTTGATCTCTAAAAACAATCAATTCTACCAACCTTAAAGTATTCATGGCATTTGAATCTTCTCCTAGATGGTCACTGGGACATCTGATGATCACCCCTCTTTTCTCCTCAAGGGAAATCCTCTCTGTAAAACACAAAATCTTAACTCTTAGCACAGTGTTTAATAATGCGCATTCAAACATCTTTTTGATTTTCTGTTTAAGCCTAAATTAAACTATAGCAGATTAATTAACTGTGATGAAATTAAGCCCTTGATCAAAACACTTGAATTCATG